CCAACATACAAACCACTGAAAAACAGAACTGGAAGTAATACCAAATACCCCAGCAAACCAAGGTTTATAAATAGCAAGTGGGACAGAACGCAAACGCTTCACCGGAGGCGCACTGACGATGCTACCTGGCAGGGTGACAAAACGTTTGCAACCAAACCCGGCAAGCAAGTCTACAACTTCATCCACAACCCGAGCTACAAATCTTCTCAAAAACTTTAAAGAACAGACAATTCTCAAAAGGGGGCAGCAATATACAGCACAAATGCTGCAGCACTCATATTGATTGGTGCACTCCTCTTTAGCCCTTTCCCTGAGAAGATGCCCGAGAGCAGATTGAAATATAATGAAATACACTAGCTAAGTCTCCATGTACAGCAGCTGATACTTATGTTAAGTCAGCCACAGTTTGATTTGGTCTAATGATATTGCAGTTGGACTAATAATCCCACCAAGGCAGATGGTGGAATTTGAAGTTAATTTTTAAAAAAAAATCTGGAATTAAAAAGGTCCAAAGATGACCATTGTCAATTGTCATAAAAACTCATCTGGTTCATTATTGTGCTTTAGGGAAGGAAACTGCTGTCTCTAAGGTGTAGAGCTGGATCTCCCCTCCCCCTACCGGATCCCAAAACCAGACCAGCACGTCCCCGCCTCCCTAATCTGTCCTTCCTCCCACCTATCCCCTCCTCCCACCTCAAGCCCCACCCCCATCTCCTACCTACTAACCTCATCCCGCCCCCTTGACCTGTCCGTCCTCCCTGGGCTGACCTATCTCCTCCCTACCTCCCCACCTACACCCACCTTTACTGGCTCCATCCCCGCCTCTTTAACCGGTCTGTCTCCTCTCCACCATCCCCTCTCTCCCTATTTATTTCAGAACACCCTTCTCCTCCCCCATTTCTGAAGAAGGGTCTAGGCCCGAAACATCAGCTTTCCTGCTCCTCTGATGCTGCTTGGCCTGCTGTGTTCATCCAGCTCTACACCTTGTTATCTCAGATTCTCCAGCATCTGCAGTTCCTACTATCTCTACCTGGTTTGTACATGTGATTCCAGACCCGGTAATATGATTTGACTCTTAACTGCCCTCTGAAACAGCCCATTCAGTTGTATCAACTACTAGAAACAAGGAACAAAAAAATCTTGACAACTAAGGCACTGAAAGTAACAATGGCAAAAACTGCCCTTTCAACCCTGCAACATCCTCACGACTAATATCTGGGGGGCACTAGTACCAAAACTGGGTGAGCTGTCTCACAGACTGGTCAAGCAAGAGTCTGACGCAGTCACGTTCATGGAATCATACCTTACACACAAAGTCTGAGATAACGCAACACCATCACAATTCCTGGATATGTGCTGTTACACCAGCAGGTCAGACCCAGCAGGGGTGGCAGCACAGTCACATACAGACAGGTGGGAGTTGTCCCCAAGAGTCCTCCACATTGACGCCAAACCCCATGAACGTCTCACGGCATCAGGTCAAACATGAACAAGTAAACCTGCTGATTCTACCTACTGTATTGTGCCTTACCACACCCACCTCTCCTACAGCTGATGTCTCAGTACTCTTACATGTTAAGCAACACTTGGAGGAAGTGCTGAGGGAGTCAAGAGTGCAGAACATACGCTGGGTGGGGGACTTCAAAGTCTACCACCGAGAATGGCTGCACTGCCACTGATCAAACTGGTCAAGTCCGAAAGGACATAGCTGCTAGATTGGTGGTGGCAGATGATGAGGGAACCAACAACAGGGGAAAAATATATTTGCCTTCAATCCTCACCAATCTGGCCAATTAGTTGTAGGAGATAGAGGGTAGCGGTGGAAGGATGCTTTTTGGAATGCAGGGCTGTGACCAGTGATGTTCCACAGGGATCAGTGCTGGGACCTTTGTGATCTACATAAATGGATTTGGAGGAAAATGCAGCTGATCTAATTAGTAAGTTTGGGAGCGATATGAAGATTGGAGGAGTTGCAGATAGGGAGATGGATTGTCAGAGGGTACAGCAGGATATAGATCAGTTGGAGGCATGGGCAGAAAAATGGCAGATGGAGTTTAATCCGGGCAAACGTGAGGTGATGCACTGTGGAAGGTCAAGTACAGGTGGAATTTTACAGTGAATAGCAGAACTCTTAGAGTATTGAAATACAGAAGGATCTAGGCATACAGGTCCACAGATCACTGAAGGTGGCAGCGCAGGTAGATAAGGTAGTTAAAAAGGCTTATGGTATGCTTGCCTTCATTGGAAGGGGCATTGGGTATAAGGTTAGGCAAGTTATGCTGCAGCTTTATAGAACTTCAGTTAGGCCACACTTGGAACATTGCGTACAGTTCTGGTCACCACACTACCAGAAAGATGTGGATGCTTTGGAGAGGGTACACAAAAGGATTACCAGGATGTTGCCTGGTATGGGGAATTTTAGCTATGAAGAAAGGTTGGATAGACGGGGTTTGTTTTCACTGGAACGCAGGAGGTTGAGGGGCGACCTGATAGAAGTTAATAAGATTGTGAACAGCATGGATAGAGTGGAAAGTATGAGGCTTTTTCCCAGGGTGGAGGGGTCAATTACTAGGAGATGCAGGGTCAAGGTGTTGGGGGGAGTTTAAAAGAGACGCGCGAGGCAAGTTTTTTCACACAAAGGGGTGGTGAGTGCCTGGAATGCGATGCCAGACGAGGTGGTGGAAGCAGACACAATAGCAGCATTCAAGAAACACCTGGACAAATACATGAATAGGAAGGGAATAAAGGGATTCGGATCCTGTAAGTGAAGGCAGTTTTAGTATGGAAGGGCAAAATGTGTCAGCACAGGCTTGGAGGGCTGAATGGCCTGTTCCAGTGCTGTATTGTTCTTTGTTCCACCAGTAAGGGTGACACTGGTAGTCCTTGTGGATTTGTAGTACCATCTTCACATTGAGAACACCCTTTAATGTGTCATGTGGCACTCTCACCATGCCAAATGCAACAGACTTCAAACAGATCCAGCACCTCAAGACTGGGAATCTGCGAGATGCTGTGGCCCACCAGCAGCAGCAATGTTGTACTCCAACACAATCTGTAACCTCATGACACAGCGTATTCCCCCACTCTATCACTACCAGCAAACCAGGGGATCAACACTGGTTCAATAAAGACTGCAGGAGGGCATGCCAGGAACACTACCAGGCAGACTTAAGAATGAAGTCTCAACCTGGTGAAGCTACCAAACAGGACTATTTGCATGCCAAACAGCGTAAGCAGCAAGTGATAGAGTTCAGCAATTCTACAACCAACATATCAGATCTAAGCTCCAATCTAATCATTAATGAAGGCAGACAATTAAACAACTCACTAAAGGAGGAAACTCCACAAACAGCCCCATCCTAATAAGGGGAGATCCCAGCACACAAATGCAAACGATAATGCTGAAATGTTTGCAACCATCTTCAGCCAGAAGTAGACTATCCATCTCAACTTCCTCTTGCTGCATCACAGGTGCAAGTCTTCAGTGAATTCGATTCACTCCATGTGATACAAGGAAATGGTTGGAAGCACTGGATACAGCAAAGGTTATTAAGCCTAAGGTAACAGTACTGGAGACCTGTGCTCCAGAACTTGCCGTGCCCTAGCCAAGCTATTCCAGTACAGCTACAACACTGGCATCTACCCACCTCTCTCTCTCTCCTCTCTCACTCACAGACACAGACCTCACTGTGCACTATAAGCACGACAAATCCAACCTAGTCAATTACTACTCCAACAGCCTACTTTCAATCATCAGTAATGTGTTGGAAGGTGACATCATTAGCGCTAGAATAGCAATAAGCTGCCCACAGACACTCAGTTTGGTTTCTGCCAGGGTCACTCAGCTACTGACCTTATTACAGTTTTGGTCCAAACATGGACAAGAGAGAGATGGAAGTCCAAAGGTAAAGTGAGATTGACATATCATGCTCACATTTGATCAAGTATGGCATCAAACATTTCTAGCAAAACAGCAATCAACCGGAATCAGAGGAAAAATTCTCTGCTGGTTGAAGTCATGCCTGGCACAAAGGAAGATGGTTGTGGTTGTTGGAAATTAGTCATCACACCTCCAAGACATCTCTGCAGGAGTTTGTTAAGGTCGTGTTCCTGACCTAACCACCTTCAACTGCTTCATCGATGGCCTTCCCACCAGAATAAGATCAGAAGTGGAAACGTTTACCGATGACTGAACAAAGTTCAGCACTATTTGCAACTTCTCAACCGCTGACCTGGACAACATCCTAGGCACACAAGTGCCAGGCAATGATTATCTCAAGAGAGGATCTAACCATCACCCCCTAACATTCAATATTACAACCATCACTGATCCCCCACTGTCTGGTCATCACCATTGATCAGAAACTGAACTGGGCTAGCCATATAAATGTTGTGGCTACAACAGCAGTTCAGGGCTAGGAATCTCAAAGCAAGTAACTCATCTCCTGACTTTCCAAAGCCTGTTCACCATTTACATGGCACAGTTCATGAATGTGATGGGATACTCCCACATGCCTGAAAACAAGTGCAGCTCCAACAACACTCCAGAAACTCGAAACTATCCAGGACAAAGCAGCCTGCATGATTGACACCTCACTCACAAATATTCAGTCCCTCCACTACAGGTATTCAGTAGCAGCAGAGTGTATACCTTACAAGATGCACTGCAGAAATTCGCAAAGTCTTCCTTAGACAGCACCTTCCAAATCCATAACCACTTCCATCTAGAAGGACAAGGTCAGCAGATACATGGGAACAACATGGGAACTGCAATTCACTTTTTATCCTTACTTGGAAAAAAATAAATTGCCATACCTTCCATGTCACTGGGTTTAAAATCTTGGAACTTTCTCCTCTTTAACAACATTGTGGGTCTATCTATACCAAACAGACTGCAACAGTCCAAGAAGGCAGCTCACCACTACCTTCTCAACAGCTACTAGAATGGCCCAGCCAGCAGCGCCAACATTCCATGAGTGAATTTCAGAAAAAAACCTTACCTTTCACTTTTTCTTGCCTCTTTGGTGAGGTCACCGAAATGCTGTGATTTTCTGGGCTCACAATCTCCGCTCTTTTCACCTTCTGTGTGCTCCTCAAGGGACTGACATGAAAACAAAATAGATTGCACAAAAATTACAAGCAAAATGGAAAGAGCAGTAAAAAGCATTAATGTCTCTGAAAGAGGATGTAGTTCACAGGTAGATTATATCCAACTAATAGCTTGTTACTCCACTTTTAAAAATCCCTCCTTTTCAAATGACACCCAATTATTGGGGTGCAGAGTTTATGACACACCGCAAGGAGGGGCTTGGAAGGATAGACATAATCAAGATATAGAAGAGAAATGTCCTCTGTTATATAGAGTGGGCTGACACACAGGGAAAAATAAATAAAAATAAAGGATAAAACAATGACAGTAAAGAGATAGGTATCACATATCAGTCTGATTAAAGTACGAAAGTAGAGATTAAAATATAACTAGCTTTTGACACATTATACTAAGTAGGTTAAAAAAGGGATAGCTACAAATAAGTATTGTCACCAACTAAAAAAAAAAAGAGGCCAGCAAGCTTAAAGAAATTCAGTTATGACACCAAACAGAAATGAACAAAAAAAAAACTATTGCATTAATCCAACACAGCCAGTACAAGTACATGTAATTCATCTGCATCAGAAACAGAACCTTCTTTCCATGCAAGTCAGCTGGTATTAGCATCAGTTTTCTAACCCATACTAAGCATGGCTACAAAATGAAACAGTTGACATTCTTGCAAAATATAAATACATTTGCTTAATGCCCAACACTTTGATTTGTTGTAGAGCTGTAGCTGTAAACAACCAATTCTGTAACCTGTGTTCTTCTCAAGTGAGGCACAAAGCAAGCACTGCAGCCTGCTTCAATAAAGACAGTGTATTTAAGTTTTTAGTTTCCATATTTAACCCTAAACCATAGATGTGTGTGCAATTTTCAAGTGTGCAGAAAATAATGATAGATTGTTATGACATGAAATGAGTGAAAGTGATTTACTTCTCAGTTGCTCAAACTTTCCACTGGAAATCAGCTTAAGATTATATATAATGTTGTGAAGGAGTGGTCAAACCCCTCTGATAATTTAAACCGAAACACTCAGGGAAGCTCGCCTCACCTCGTAATCCATTAAAGGAGTGGTTAAATTAAACAAATCTCTGCTACTCGCTTTATAATCAAAAAGTAATAATTTATTTATCTAACTCTAACAGTTAACAAATTAACATAACTACTAACAAACCAAACAATTCCCACTTAACTACCAACTATTCCCAAATAAAACAAATTTCTAATGGTATGCTGTTCCAATAGATACAAGTCCCACTTATATAAACCAAATTAATAATGAAAAAAAAACTTAATCTCTCAAAATTACAGCCAGGATAAGTCATCCAGAATGTTCTTTGCCTTCTCTGCTGTCCTCCAGTCAGCAATGCCTTCCTCCATCGAATTGTTGTGCCAGGAATATTAGCTAAGAGTACCTTAATTAAATGGTGCTTACTCTGAGATCTTAGAGATTTCTGTGAGAGCTAGTGATTTTCTCTTTCTTAAGAGCTGATGGTTGTTGAGAGCTGTACTCTTGATAGATGACAGTTTGCTCTCACACTGAATTTCAAATGCCCTCTTCTTTTATACCCTTGATGACCTAGTAATTTCTTACAATAGGATTGGTGCAAGGTTGTCAAAACCATCAGACTTAAATTTAATTGGACTTTGGTATCGAGGGTCTGGTTTAAATTAATTGGCTGAATTCAAAAACCTGTTGTCTTGGTAAGATGCTGAATTGCCTGCTAACAGTATAGCCTTTTGATACAAGGTTTCAATTTGAAGAACTCTCTGTACATCTACTGCTGCCTGAAGACATTTCTTTTTAATTTCCAAGCCTTAAAAAATAATCATCTTATAAAAAAGGGACCACGCACCCTTCCCCCTATCATTTCACAAACAAATTCTAACGTCCTGCCTTCTAATCCACAAGTACTACATCAACTTCGCAACAATAAACATCAAACTACATTCAGTACATTAAAGTTACATGAAGAGAACTTGCCTGGTATTAACAGGTACAGCTAAAGGAGCCACAGGTGTATGTTCTAACTTCTGTTGCTGATTGGAAACTAGAAAACAAAAGTAGCTTGCACTTCACAGTATATATCATCAGCATCACAAGTTTCAACAAGTACTGGATCAAAACTTATCAAAAAACACCTGTAAAGCTGGATTTGAATCAAAGGAATAACAGAACTGCAAATGGGATCTCAGTATTCAGACAGCATAAAGATCATTTCTCCCATTCATACCTGTTGAAGGATAGATACAGGTTGTATGGTTATAAAGCATTCTCTGGTTCTCCACAGTGCAGCCTCAATGAGAAGCACATGGCACAGCACATTGTGTGAGATTAAGCCCTGAAAACTCACAGATGATGCCAGTTCTTTTAGATCAAACTCTTACAAACTTTATGGTTGTGGAATAGATTTTTTTTAAAAAGTAACCAGTTGGAGCAGAGAATTCATCATAGAATCCCTACAGTGTGAAAGTAGGCCATTCGGCCCAGAGTCCTCACCGACTTTCTGAAGAGCATCCCACCCAGACCCACCCCATCCCTGTAATACTGCATTTCCCATGGCTAATCCATTTAGCCTGCACATCCCTGAACACTACGGGACAATTTAGCATGGCCAATCCACCCTAACCTGCACATCTTTGGACTGTGGGAGGAAACTGGAGCAAACCCATGCAGACAGAAGGAGAATATGCAAACCACACAGACAGTCACCCAAGGGTGGAATCGAACCTGGGTCCCTGGCACTGTGAGGCAGCAGCGCTAACCACTGAGCCACCGTGCCACCCAACTCAGATTACTTAACATTATGTCAGCATTACACTGTGAGCTAGAAAGATAGCAGGTCCACAGATCAAAATCATGGGGGTTACCATAAATCAGAAACCAGACTGGACCAGACATATAAATACTGTGGCTACAAGAGCAAATCAAGAGCAGGAATTATGTGCTGAGTAACTCACTGCCTCTCTCCCCAGTGTCCATCCACCATTTCAAGAAACAAGTCAGGGGTATATTGGAATTCTCTCCAATTTCCTAAATAGTTGCAGCTCCAACAACACTCAAGAAGCTTAATACCACTCGGGACAAAGCAACTCGCTTGATTGGCATCACATCCACCACCAACAACATTCCCTCTCTCCACCATTAACACACAGCAGGCTCTGAAGGAAACAGCCAGAGAAGTAGTGGAAACATTGGTATAATCTTCCAAAATTACTTCAGATTCTACAAGGATCCCAGGAGAGTGGGAATAATTAGTGGGACACCTTCATTCAACAAACCAAGGAGACAGAAAGCAGGAAAATGTAGGCCAATTGATTTGATATCTTTCGTGGGAAAGTGTTAGAATCCATTATTAAAGAGGTAATTGTGATATTCTTTGAATCACAACAGGATCAGGCAGAATCAACATGGTTTTGTGAAAGGGAAAACGTGTTTGACAAATTTAATGGAATTATTTGGGGAATTAACAAGAAAGATGGATGAATGGGAACCTGTAAGTATAATGAATATAGTTTGGATTTCCAAAACATATTTGTTAAAATGCTACATCAAAAACTACCACGGAAGATAAGAGCACATGGTGTAGGGGGTAACATTTCAGCATAAATAAACTGTTAACTAGCTAACAGAGCCTACAGCCATACTAGTCTGAAACAGTCCAAATCTCATCTGATCTCAGAAGTTAAGCAGACTCAGGTCTGGTTTGTACTTGGATGGGAGACCACCTGGGAATATCAGATACAGTATGCTTGGGGCCCTGTTGTGGTGCAGTGGAAGCGTCCCTAACCCTGAACAATGAGGCCTGGGTTCAAGTCCCACATGCTCCAAAGGTGTGGAATAATTTTCTAAACCAATTTAAAGAAAAATAAAACTGGAAGCAGAGAATACGTTTAAAAAGACATTTTTGGGTTGGCATTCTGTCACCACTGGAGAATCAGTGATATGGCTTCAATTAATTAAAAACTATAACAATGACTGGATGAAGGGTCTAAATATATGGTAGCTACATTTGTCAAAGACACCAAGATAGGTAGGACATTAAACTGGCAAGGAGGTAAAGAGCCAACCAAGGCATATGAAGATGAATTAAGCAAGTGGGTAAAAAATTAGCAGGCAGTGTTTAATGTAGGGAAATGGAAACTTGCACATTTTGGCAGGAGGAAAATAACTGCACAAAATAACTGCTCAGAGGCCGGTACCCCGTCACCGAGTCACCATTTATTTATACGTTCACAGTACACTCCCGGTGACCAGCCAGCTTAGAGTCAGCCCCTGAAGTCAGGAGACTCTTTGAATCCCCTGCTTCTATCTGTCAGCCAAGGCTCTCTGCTTGGACCAGGTTAACAACCCCAATCAAGGATCTCATAGTCAATGAGATCCACCTGGTTCTAATCACTACATCACAGCCCCACCGCCACCCACACAACCCCCTGGCCCCGGGGATGTAGGCCTGGACTGTCACTGGTAGCTTTTGCCGCAGGTCAGGTTAATCAAGACTCAGAAATGGGTGGCATGAACCAGACTGGAGCCTGTCTCTTTCATCCAGAGGGTGTCAGAAGAGTTTCCTCCTCTTCATCCCGAGGTAATGGTATCGAGGCTGCATCCATCTCAAACTCAGATTTCCTCAGTGGCAGGCAGGGGGGGAGAGCCCATGGTTTCCTGACAGGCCTTCAGGCTGTTCTGAGGGGCCAGGTATGCATTGATCCTGCTCCATTGGTGAGGTAACAGCTTTTGTGTAACCGACATGTTGGTTCAGGACTGCCTCACCTCCCTGAGCTTTGTATGTCACAGGACCTGACCTCATGTTGACCTCACACCTTGTACCCATACAGGGCCGTACCGCAAACTGCACTGGTTTGATGATTCTTTCGCTTTTCAGCCTCTTGATTTCTGCCTCTACTTTTGCACACAAGGCGAATGGCACTAGGTGAGCCTTGCAAAAACATGGAATTGCTTCCTGGTCAACTTATAAGGTGGCCTTGGGTCCCTTCGATAGCCCTCGGCCCTTCCTGAGCAACTCCTGGGGCATTTCATTAGGAGTTCACTCAGACAGCCAATTTCTAAACCGAAAAATGTTGAGCCAATCAAGGTGAATCTTTCTCAACCAATTCCTCCCCAGTAGGCTTAGGCCCAAGCCTTTTACTACCATCATCGTTGGTAACTGCACTAACTGCTCTTCATAGGAGATCGGAACCAAAGTCATACCCTTAAACTGTAACAGCTCCCCAGTGTACGCTCTCAGTCTGAGGTCTTGTGCAAACTTAAAGATTGCAGTGTAGAGCGAATCTTGTTAAAGATAGGTTGGACAACCACTGGTATAGTTGCACCAGTTTCAACTTCCATGAGAACTCGGTGACCATTTAACCAGACAGTAATTTTAACTGGTTCTGATTTGGATGTTGCTAAGCCATTTAACTGTTCCACCCTACATGTAGGTGAACTTTCCAGGGCTCTCCTGGGTACCATGCATCACAAAAAAAAGTCAGTTTGCAGCTACAGCTGATCAGGAAGGCAAATGGAACGTTGGTGTTTATTGCAAGGGAAGTAGAATATAAAAGTAGGGAAATTTTATGGTAGGTGTACACAATTTGGCATGACCGCATCTGGAGTTCTATGTAGTCTACATATTTAACAAAGCATTAGAAGCAGTTGGGAGAGGGCTTCCTGGTCTCAACGTTGGGACGAAGTGATTATCTTTTGAAGAAAGGTGGAATAGGTTGGCCCTATACTCACTGAAGTTTACAATAACGATAGCTGATCTTAATGAAGAGTAGCGAGATCCTCAGGGGACTTAATAGGTGGATGCAGAGGGTATTTCCATCTCTGGGGGCTCTGGAATAAGGGTACACAAAATAAGAACAAGAGATCTCCCTTTAAAGTCTGAGATGAGCAGATTTTCTTTTCTCTCAGAATTTTGTGGTCTGTGGACTTCCTTTCTCTGGAAAGCAGTGAAGGCTGTCACTAAATTTCTTCAAGGCTGAGTTTAATCAATAAGGGATTGAAGGGTTCTGGGGGCAGAGAGGGAAATGGACTTGAACTCACAACTAGATCAGCCACGATCTGTTGTATGGTACATCATGCCCATGGAGCTGAATAGCTTATTCCTGACCCCAAGTAATGGAATATAGGATTAACGTAATTTTGGGTTCATGTACTTTAGGAACTAAAAAGATTATAAATAGTAACTATTTACTGAATTCACAGCACTGAGATTAATGTGAGGCGTCAAAGGAAAATATCCAATTCTCAATCCAATGTCCATGTGACAATACTCATTTACATCCCACTCTAACTGCAGCAATGGTATTAAATAGCTTTACACAGCACTACTGCTACAGTCAGACTGTAAGTGTTCGGAATTCAAATTGCCTGATGCTGCCTCACAGAACCAGGGACCCAGGCTCAATTCTAGCCCGTTTGCACGTTCTCCCCGTGTCTGTGTGCTCCACTTTCCCTTCCTCCCACACTCCAGATGTGCAGGTTCGGTGGATGAGCCATGCTAAAGTACAGTCATAGAGCTGTAGAGCACGGAAACAGACCCTTTGGTCCAACTCATCCAAATTAACCTAGTCCTGTTGGCCAGCATTCGGCCCATATTAAATGTTGTAATTATACCAGCCTCCATCACTTCCTCTGGCAGTTCATTCCATACAGACATCCCTTCTGTGTGAAAATGTTGCCCTTTGAGTCCCTTTAAAATCTTTCCCCTCTCACCTTAAATCTAAGCCTTTTAGTTTTGGACTCCCCACTTCAAGTAAAAGACCTTGTCTGTTTACCCTATCTATGCCCCTCATGATTTTATAGACCTCTATAAGGCCACACCTCAGCCTCCGATGCTCCAGGGAAAATACCCCATGCCTATTCAGCTTCTCCCTATACCTCAAACCCAACCTGGCAACATCCTTGTAAATCTTTTCTGAACTCTTTCTAGTTTCACAACATCCTTCCCAAAGCAGGGAGACCAGAATTGCATGCAGTATTCCAAAAGTGGCCTAATCAATGTCCTGTACAGCCACAACATGATCCTCCCAACTCCTATACTCAATGCACTGACCAATAAAAGCAAGCGTACCAAACACCTTCTTCACTATCCTATCTACCTGTAACTCCACTTTCACCGAACTATGAACCTGCACTCCAAGGTCTCTTTGTTCAGCAGCATTCCGCAGGACCTTATCATTAAGTGTGCAAGTCCCGCCCTGATTTGCCTTTCCAAAATGCAGCACTTCACATTTATTTAAATTAAACTCCATTTGCCATTCCTCAGCCCACTGGCCCATCTGACAAAGGTCCCATTGTACTCTGAGTTAACCTTCTTCGCTGTCCACTACATCTCCAATCTTGGTGTCATCTGCAAACTTACTAATCATACCTCCTATGTTCATATCCAAATCATTTTTTTTTTTTAAACTTGACGAAAAGCGGTAGACCCAGCATCAATCCTTGTGGCACACCGCTGGCCACAGGCCTCCAGTCTGAAAAGCAACCCTCCACCACCACCCTCTGTCTTCTACCTTCGAGTCAGTTCTGTATCCAAATGGTTAGTTCTCCTTGTAATTCGTGTGATCAAACCTTTTTAATCAGTCTACCTTGAGGAACCTTGTTGAATGCCTAAGTCCACATCGAGCACATCCACCACTCTGCCTTCAACAATCCTCTTCATTACTTCAAAAAACTCAATCAAGTTAGTTAGGCATGATTTCCCACACACAAAGCTATGTTGACAAGCTCCAGTCAGTCACTGCCTTTCCAAATACATGTAAATCCTGTCCCTCAGGATCCCTTCCAACAACTTTCCCACCACTGATGTCAGGCTCACTAGTCTATAGTTCCCTGGCTTTTCCTTATCACCTTTTTTAAATAGTGGCACCACATTAGCCAACCTCCAGTTTTCTGGCACCTCACCTATGACTATCGATGATACAAATACCTCAGCAAGGGGCCCAGCAATCTCTTCCCTCGCTTCCCACAGAGTTCTAGGGTACACGTGATCAGGTTCCAGGGATTTATCCACTTTTGTGCATTTTAAGACATCCAGCACCTCTTCCTCTGTAATATGGATATTTTTCAAGATGTCGTTATTTATTTCCCCAAGTTCTGTAGCTTCCATATCTTTCTCCACAGTAAAAGCTGATGCAAATACTCGCTTAGTGTCTCCCCCATCTCCTGCGGTTCCACACATAGGCGGTCTTGTTGATTTTTCAGGGGCCCTATTCTCTCCCTAGTTATTCTTTTGTCCTAAATTGCCCAGTAGTCCCCAGTGATTTGCAGGTTAGGTGGAGTAGCCATGGTTAAAAACCCCATGTGGGCTTACGGGGATCGGATGGGGTGGGATGCTTTTTGGAGGGTCAGTCTAGACTTCGTGGGCCAAATGGCCTCTTTCTGTACTGTAGTGATTCTATGATCTGACGTTAGGGAAACAGGGGAACAAGACTCCCAGACAGGTAATATCACCCCACTTCACTTTAGAGTCAGTTTGGGCCCAATTTATTATACAATTGTCATTGTGGGTCTCAGAGATATTCATGACAGCAACGTTAGCTCTGTGATGTGGACATAATGTTTTATTTAAAAATATGTATCATCAGTAAAGCTTTCAAATGGAATTTAACATCGTGCACATACCATTACATGTACCAAGTAAAGAAATAAAATGCTCCATAAATTAGTAAATAACTAACTACAGGTTATTGCATCAGCAGGTTGCACTGATGCAAGCTCTATCAAGGCCATCCTGTTCCGCCTGCGCCAGTTTCCTTTAGTCACTGCAGCTAACTGATCTAATAACTCCAGGTGTAGTTAGAAAATGATCTGCTTGCAAGTTCTAAATCCAATGCCCAACACCTTACTGGTAATGCACCAATACAGCACACGTCGAGAGAGAGCAGTCAAAGTATTGAAAACTGCATCATGCCTTGCTTTGTGTGTCTAACTCAACAAATGAAAAAAAATTAATAATTCCTCAATACCAGCAGACAACAGTAATATGGAGTCCTGGGATAGTACCATCCATTCAAGAGGCATCATAATCTCCATTATGGTGCTGCTAAGTTTTCTAAATTTCTACATTTTCTCATATTTTTACAACTGGAAAAGCATTGCCATTAAATACACCATCTTCAATTTTTTATTTTAAAAAAACAGAAACATACCAGCAACCAGCTAATACAGGTAATTTACTCCCAGTGATACACATATGTTCCTTACCTCTACGAGCTTCCAGTTGACTTGTTAAGACTTTCCGTATTTCGTTTACCCACATATTTTTTACTTCAGGTGTTGCTGCCTAATGAAAGATAAATAAGTACATTCTTATATCTTCCAAACATATGTTGCAGGTCCAGAAAACTTCATGGTTATTGCAGTAAAATTATTAACCCCTCTGTACAGTGATTAAATCCTATTCTATCACTTAAAGTGTCACTGGAGCATCCAAATTGTTTCACTCTGTAGATAGGCCAGCACCAAAACAGAGATGAAAATTGACAATTATTCTTTTATCTCTAAATCTCAAAGTATGGTATTAAAATGAAGTCTCATCCTTAACAGATACATATTTGTCAATTGTTCCCAGATGTAAATTATTTGGTAAATTTTTTTTTTTGTAGCTTTACATCATGACTAAGGCTGTCATTACTTCTTCAAGGACTCAAATCACCATACTTTGTTGCAAATATAGGACAACACAGGTATTCCATGGCAGTTCAGACTCAACTATCGTACTTTTGAGAGAAACTAAGCAAATAAGAAATGGATCAAAATTAGTTGCGTTGGTTCTTCACTGTCACTGAGAATTTCTTTAGTGTCTGGTAACCTTTGAACCCACATCTATATGGCAGATTACACGCCAGTAGCAGAACCACAGCAATGTCACAAGTTCCTGCATTTGAACATGAAGTTTGACAACTAGTGGCCACTATACCAAAACAGATGAGATATAATGGCTTTAGCAAGGATGCGTGTGACCCAAGCTGGTATACTGCCAGCAAATGGCCAAACAAGCTGCCCAGATTGTTGAAGGGGTAGAGTGACAATTCTGAGCAACACACTCTGTAACAAGCAGGCATGCTGCTGACAGAATTCCCATGAGGAATGAAATAGCCAGGGACCAACAATGTGGACTTAACTGCCCATGTAAATAAAGTGCCTCTGTCTAGACTTAGTAAATTTTGGTGATGGTAGGGCTGTGGGGGGTTGGGGGGGTTGGGGGTGTTGGGTGGGTTGGGGGGTGCAAATGTTGATGAATATCTGCGGGTGTAGCCATAGTAAAATGGAAAGGCTCCCAATGAGTGGAAACGTGGGGTCAATGACCATATGAATTAGAGAAGTATGCCATTCGGCCCTTCAACGCTGCCTCATCGCTCAATAAGATCACGGCTCATCTAGTTATGTTCTACACTCCACTTTTCCATGTGCTCAATAACATTTTATTCCTTGCCGAATAAAAATTTGTCTATTTCTGCCTTAAAAATGTCATTAGTCCCAATTTTTTCCAAGTGATCAATAACATTTTATTCCTTGCCGAATAAAAATTTGTCTATTTCTGCCTTAAAAATGTCATTAGTCCCAATTTTTTCCAAGTGACCAGTTATAATCTCCTTAGTGATCGATTCTAACAGCTTCTCCACCATGGGTGTTAAGCTAATTAAGCTGTAGCTTGCTGTGGGATTGGATTTAATTTATTATTGTCACATGCTGAGGTGCAGCGAAAAGTATTGTTTTGCGTGCTAACCAGACAAATCATAAGTACATCAGGGTAATAGAACAGAATGCAGAATATAGTGTTACAGTTACAGAGAAGGTGCAGAGAAAGATCAAATGTAATACATGGGATCAATTCATAAGTCTGATAACAGCAGGGAAGAATCTGTTCTTAAATCTGTTGGTACATGGTCTAAAACTTTTGTATCTTCTGCCCGATGGAAGAGACAGTATAACTGGAGTGGAAGGGGTCTTTGATTATGTTGGCTGCTTTCCTAAGGCAGCATAAAGTGTAGACAGAGTCAAAGGATGGAAGGCTGGTTTTCGTGATGGGCTTGGCTGTGTTTCAAATACTCGCTGCAATTTCTTGCGGGCTTGGGCAGACCGGTTGTCATACTAAGCTGTGGTGCATCTGGATAGGTTGCTTTCTATGGTGCATCTATAAAAACTGGTAAGAATCATTATGGACATGCTGAATTTCCTTAGCCTTCTGAGGAAGTCGAGGTGTGGTGTGTTTTCTTGAATGTAGTGTTGATGTGTTTTCTGCCTCCCTTCCTTCTTGAGTATAGGGGTATTATCTGCCATCTTCCTCACTTAAGGAATTTTTCCGGAATCTACCAATCTAGGAAAATTAACACCAACCCATCTACTATCTCATTCTCCACCTATTTAAAAGCCCTAGGACAAAGTTCATCAGGACCTGGAGACTTATCCACCTGTACATCGATCAATTTGCTCAGTTCCATTTCCCTCGTGGTTTCACTCAGTTCCTCCATTCCTTCAACTTCTGCATTTACAGATATTACTGGTTTGTTTTTGCATCATCTATAGTCAAGAAGCAAGCAAAATATTTTTGATTGCATTTGTGTAATTTCTTTGTTTTCTACAATGAACTCACTATTTTCACCTACCAACACTTACTTTACTCACCGTTTTCCTTTTTAAGATAGCTTTTAGCTTCTCTCGTGCTTTAACCTATTAGTCCCAACTAACCTTTTAGTCATTCTCTGACATTCTTCTATACATTGTATACTAACCAGTCATCTGTTCTGTCACTCATCTTTCACAATCAAATGCTTTTTCTGGAGGTTTGATGCTTTATTTAATTTCTTCAGTTAACCATGATGATGGACCATCCCCTTGGAATTTTTCTTTACAGTAGGAATGTACTTATTCAGAGCACTCTGTAATAGCCCCTTAAACATCTACCACTCCTCCTCTCCTGATCTATTTCTTAACCTAATATCTCAGTTCACCTCAACTTTCATGTCCACATAGTCGCTCTTTTTAAGTGTAAAATACTATTTTTAGAACCACTATTCTCCCTTTCAAACTGGACGGAAAATTCAATCACATTATGATTACTGCTATCTTGAGGTGGCTTTACTCTGGAGGCCATTAATTAGCCTTGTCAGATTATACAACACCAAACCTAGAATTGCCTGCTCTCTTGTTGATATCAAAACATGCTGCTGGAAGAAATTATCTTGAAACAAAAACATTCTAATAATTCATCAACAAGGTGACTGTTACCAATCTGATTTTTACAGTTTATATATAGATTAAAATAGCCCATAATTATTCATGTCCCTTTATCACAAGCATCCAATATTGTTCTGGTTTGATTTATGCTAAGTGCATGTATTGTTCAAGAACTTGTGAACCAACCCCTCAAGTGATTTAATTTTCCCTATTATTCCTCATTTCCACCCAAAATAAACTCTACAACTTGATTGCCTAAACTAAGGTCATCGCCAATTATTACAACAAATCTATGATCAGCCACATCTCTACAATGGCTATTAGATTATAGCTATTCATTTCAATGTGCACCATCAATTTCTTTACCTTGTTATAACGCTTTGCTCGTTCAGATACAGAGCCTTTGATTTTGGATTATTTTTTGTCATATTTGTGGTAACTAGTCTGAAATATTGGCATACTTTCAGGTTTTTTTCTTCCTTCTGCCCCTTCCTGCTTTTCTTGTACCTTCATTTAATATTTTGCTCTCTGCCTTGATTTGTTACAATAGCTAACTTTGACCCCTTATGCTGTTTACTGAGACCATAGGACATAATAGCAGAAATTAGGCCATTCAAACCAATCGAGCCTGCTCCGCTATTCAATCATGGCTGATAAGTTTCTCAACCTCATTCTCCCGCTTTCTCCCCGTAACCCTTGATCCCCCTGACAATCAAGAACCTATCTATCTCCATCTTAAATATGCTCAATGACCTAGCCTCCTAAGTTCAAAGCTCTTTCTATTTACATAATTGAGAGGCTCACAGGAACACCAGTTGTAGTACAGTTCAGGTCTAGACAATCCCAAATGTAGAGATCCCACATTCCCCAATTCTGGTGCCAGTGTCATGTCCTTCCTTTAGTGTGGCGACCAGAACTATACACAATACTCCAGCTGTGTCTTAACTAACATTATGTGCAGTTCCATCCTCCTTGCCCTTATATTTAATTGCTTGACTAATAAATTCCATATGCCTTCTTAGCCACTTTATCTACCAGTCCTGCTGACTTCAAGGATCTAATCCTCTGTATTTCCTAGGGTCCTACCATTTAACGTGTATTCCTTTGGCTGCCAAAATGAATTACCTCACGCTTTTCAGGATTAAACTCCATTTCCCAGTGTTCCACCCACTGATCAGCTGGTCTATATTGCACAGTTGTCTTCCTCCTTGCTTCTTACCACGCCACCATTTTTTGGTGTCGTCATGTGCAAACTTACTGTTCAAACCTCCCACATGCATGTCTAGATCATTAATGGACATAACAAACAGCAAGAACCAAACCCTGTGGTATGCCACCTGACACAGGCTTCCAAACAACATGCAGGTAAATGAAAAACACCTTTCGACCCACTCACTTTACTATCCCCTACAGCTACTACATCCCTTCTTACTCCTTTCACTTGTAAGGCTTCCTGTACTGCACTGGAGTGCAAGTTAGCAGCCTGCAACATTTACTCTAATCCAAACAAGCTGAGTAAACCACAAACCTTTTGAACAACTGTAAAGTCTGAGGCTGCTGTACTCCTGTGCTCTGGGTCCCCTTTGCTCTCTCTCTGGCAGTAACATCTCCTGTCTCTGATAGAATCAGAAGATCCTGTATGAATGCCCTGCATTCTGGAATAAAGCGTGCAGGTAACATCACTCCTCTATGATATGTCATTGTTTCTATAACTCAGCCTTCAGCTCAATATCTCTGAGCCAAAGTTCCCACAGCTACAAACACTTGCTACAGACCTTTTTTCCTCTCAGGGAGCTGTGTCCCTTTGGAATTCCCTTCCTCAAAAGACAGTGGGTGCACAATCTATAAGTATTTTAAAAGCAGAGCTCGATAGATTCTTGATTACCAAGGGGATGAAAGATTATTAAAGGTATGCAAGAATGAGCTGTTGAGGTTAAAATCAGATCAGCAATGAACAGATTGAATGCTGGAACAGGCTCAAAAGGCCAAGTGGCCTACCCTTGATCCTTGTTTGTATGTTTCCCCGGAACACTGGTGTTTCAGCAGTGCTGATAAATTTTGCAATAGTGATGAAACAAGGTAGTATTTACAATAATGATAAAGCTTACAGATCTTAATAATACCAAATACTAATCTCCCTACTCATTCTGCTGAACAAACCAGATATCAAGTTCTGGAAACGGAGAAAAAATTAAGAAAACCTCCACCTCACCCTCTGTACATTACTTCTTGCAGTAAACCTGTTTAATGCACCTTTTTCCTCATCCGAATCAAGCTCTAAGATGTACTACTTAGGCAAAGTCGTCCTCACATTGACTGCGCTTCATGTCGATTGTTTGGAAATTACTTTTCTTATTTAGAGTTATCTTGGGGTCTTATTTGTGGTTTAGCTTCCTGCTGCAGTAATCAACACCTTTTCAGTTCGGGTTTCAGTGGCAAAATATCTCTCAACCATCTATCAGCAGCTATTTAACTAAGTTATTTTAACTCAAGGCCTGCTAGTTTAGAATCTGACTCTTTCCGTAAAACTGAACTTGAAAAAAAAGATTTACTCTTTAAATGTCCATCGTGGATTGAATTTCAATACATGCTCCTTTGGCCAATGTCTATCTCATGATTATGTCATGAGCGACAGCTCTTCATTTCTCAACCCAATGCTTTATTTAAATAGTAAAGGGCTATTGTCAAGAGTGGCAATAATGTTGCACTATTCCAAAGAACAGGAATTAAATGAGATAACAAGGTGTAGAGCTAGATGCACACAGCAGGCCAAGCAGCATCAGAGGAGAGGAAAGCTGACGTTTCAGGTCTGGACCCTTTCTGAAGAAGAGTCCAGATCCGAAACGTCAGCTTTCCTGCTCCTCTGATGCTGCTTGGCTTGCTGTGTTCATCCAGCTCTACACCTGGTTATCTCAGATTCTCCAGCATTGGCAGTTCCTATCTCTGAATTAAATGAGATGATTTGAATGTACCAGTGAACCAACGGGTTTGCCTTTTAAGGCCTGAATGGTTCTTGATCCTTGGCTCACACTTACCTGTACAATGTAAACCTCTTCCCTTGCATTGTACCAAATTTCAAATTTCTTATTATCTCCCTTAATATTTTCAGTGATACCAACAGTGCTCATCTGCAAAATGGAAAAAATGGTTATGTAGTGATGTTTCTGCAAACACCAAGGCTTCATTACAAAGAAACAATAGAATGTATGGGACTGGTACAGAACAATGAGATGTATCTAACTAGAATTAGTCTTCAGGAGATAATATTGCATACGTAACTGTATCAAATGTTTCTCCAGGTGCTAATCCAACTCGGTCTTCAATATACTAACAATTCACCCCACCATCTATGTAGTATTATCACCTCCTTGTAAATCAGCGGTCAATTCACCATCTAAACGTTCAGTCCTTCTACTGCCTGTGGTGGCAGTGCATTTCATCCACAAGTTGCACTGCAGCAGTTCGCCAAAGTTCCTCCAACAGTGTCTTCCAAACCCTTGATTTCTATCACTTAGCAGGATGAGGGCAGCAAATATTTGGCAACAGCACTGTTTGGAAGTTCCTCTCCAAAGTCAAAAAGCAATTGACATGAAACTGCATCACCATTCCTTCATTGTTGCGGGCTCAAAATTCTGAAAATTCCTTCCTAACAACACTGTTACTGCATATCTCCACCAGATAGTTCAAGAAGACAACTCACAATCATGTTCTCAAGGAGAATTATGGATGGGTAATAAATGCTGACCTTGCCAGCAGCATATTTTAATAATAATTAAAAGGATGATACAGGCCTTCAAATGTTCCTCTAAGTCGGATGCTGTGTACTCTTCAAAATGTATCATTTATTTTTTAAGAAATTTAATAACTTTGTGTGTTTATTATGGAAAAAGCTTTCAAGTCAATCTGAATAGAAATTAATAATAACTTATTGCCAAGCTCTTATACTTAACACATTTTAGAGAGAATGCGTGAAAGTAGGTATCCAAACACTTGAACATGGAAATGTTAACATTCCAGAGCCTTGTTAATGCTATAATCTGCTCTTGCAAGCTACAGGAATATACATTATTGTTCATTATATCAAAGTTCATCCATATCGGAGGAGTCTGGAAGGAACCCCAAACTGTGCAGGGTCATGTGAATGCAGTGCTTAATTCATAAAAACCTTACTTTTGGTGTTACTGGAGCATAGAAGCCAGAATTTTTCTTTAAAGGTGTAGGATCCAGTGCTCCGAAAGACTGAATGCTAGCAGGTGGTGGCTAAGAGAGATTTAGTCTTTTTGAATGAATCGAATTTTGTTTTCAGTTAGCATTTAACAGTGGTCTACAATTTAAATTTAAGTTTCCAGACATGGTCTAAGGCTTTAACGAGGGCTTTACTTGAAGAGCCATTGTGCTTATTTAGTTAAAGGAACAACTGAAACCAGTTCCTCTAGCTCAACCTGCCAGGCCTTTTGTATTAGGAGCATATAATACAGACAGCCAACTGAATGAACAATTGCACTTATGTGTGACTTACAACAGGGTTACCATTATGGGAGTTAGGACATGAAGTGAAAGAAGTGTACTGCTCCTCTTGTTTTATTCTAACTTTTCAACTTCCAGGATGTGGTCCTTACTCTGCTACAGGAAGAAAATCTAGTTACTTGATGAGTTTCTGGTAAGTAACTAAGGTTTATGATGTTCCTACAGTTCAAAATAGTAGAGCAACTGATGGTAAGGTTAATACATGAAAATGTAAGTAAATACATTATAAAGTAATTAGTTAATTAAAATAAACTTAAGGACGGCAGGATGGGTGATGTGTCACAGCTGCAGCATGGCTGCTCCTGGATCCCAGTTTGATCCAGGGCAAACAGTTTCAGTAATTACTTGAAATTTCAACAACTTCAGCCTACCATTTCAAGTTGAAAGCTGAACTACAGATATTGTGAAACATCAGGGAAGGGGAATGTTACCTGGGCTTGTGTTTTGTATTTATTCACCTCATAGGATATGGACATTGCTGGCTGACCAGCATTTATTGCCTATCCCTAGTTACCGTTGATAAGGTGGTGGTGAGCTGCCTTCTTGAACAATTGCAGTCCATGTGGATTATCTACTTTAATCAGTGGTCAGGGATGGGAGAGATTGACAGCAAGTGAGGCAGTTCAGGAGACTCAGAGACGCAGCATTTGCAATTATCGAGGGGAGACAATGGTATTATCGTTGAACTATTAATCCAGAGACCCAGGTAATGTTCTGGGGATCTGGGTTCAAATCCTGCCATGGCAGATGGTGGAATTTGAATTGAATAAATATCTGGAATTAAGAGCCTAATGATGACCATGAATCTATTGCCGATTGTCGGGGAAAACCCATCAGGTTCACTAATGTCCTTTAGGGAAGGAAACTGCCATCCTTACCTGGTCTGGCCTACATGTGACTCAATACCCACATCAATGTGATTGACTCTTAACTGCCCTCTGGGCAATTAGGGATCGGCAATAAATGCTGCCTTGTCAGCAACACCCTCATCCCGTGAATGAATTTTAAAAAACACATAGGTTTACAGTTCTTTCAAATGAGGGTTGAGAGTGGATTACCATATCAGCATTGTACAGGAAGCTATTCAAGTGGGCTGGGCTAACAAGTAGTAGGGAACAATATAGTCAGAGGGATTCACAATCTTCTCTAAGCCAAAGAGCGCAAGTAATAGAACAGAATGCAGAATATAGTGTTACAGTTACAGAGAAGGTGCAGAGAAAGATCAAATCTAATATATGGGATCAATTCATAAGTCTGATAACAGCAGGGAAGAATCTGTTCTTAAATCTGTTGGTACATGTTCTAAAACTTTTGTATCTTCTGCCCGATGGATGAGAGAGTATAACTGGGGTGGAAGAGGTCTTTGATTATGTTGGCTGCTTTCCTAAGGCAGCATAAAGTGTAGACAGAGTCAAAGGATGGAAGGCTGGTTTTCGTGATGGGCTTGGCTGCGTTTCGAATACTCGCTACAATTTCTTGCTAGCTTGGACAGACCAGTTGCCATACTAAGTCCAAAATGCTGTGTCGCCTGCCCAATGCCAGAGTTCAGGGCATCTGCTCAGGCCTGGAAAACAACTTGCAGCAAAAGCGGCAGGATATGGTCTTCATGATCCATGCAGGTACCAATGACAGAGGCAGGAAGTTCTGCATAGTCAGTATGAGGAGCAAGGCACCAAATAAACAGAAGGTCAAGGTCATAATCTCTGGATTGTAAACTGAGACATTTGCAAATTCGCACAGATCAAACTAGGTTAGATAGATGAATGGCTCAGACTGATGTGGAACTAGTAGGCTCTGGATCATCAGGCAAGGGTAATACCCAACTGCTCCTTTCCTCCAGATGCTGCCTGGCTTGCTGTGCTCTTCCAGCCTCCTGTTTGTCTACGCTGTCGCCAGTATTGGAGAAACTGGGATCCACAACTTACCATGAACTGTGCTGGGCTGGTATTCTTGTAAGTCACATAAATAGTGATGTAGGGAGGATTTTTACACTAAGTAGCGGAGGTATGGGGTCAAATTTGGGAAAACACGGCAAATCAAAGAGCAGAGACAAGCTAAAAAGGAAGAAAGTAATATGGGAAAATGAACAGTTTGTAACAGGAGACAATACCGGAGTAAAAACCTAAGAGTAAATCCATACAACAGGGCTAGATGTTACAAGAAGAATAACAGATAAAACTGATGACTCCACATCAGTGTACACAGCATTTGAAACAAAACTGAGAACAATGAACTGAGTGCTACAGAAGTAAGTACACACAGTCTGGTAGCCATTATAGAGGCATGGCTACAGGATAACAGACTGGTAAAAAAACCAAAAGAACTGCAGATGCTGTAAAATCAGGAACAAAAACAGAAGTTGCTGGAAAAGCTCAGCAGGTCTGGCAGCATCTGTGAAGAAAAAATCATTTCGGTTCTGGTGACCCTTCCTCAGAACTGATGGTAGCTGGGAAAACATCAGTTTATGTGCAGAAAATAGGGAGGGAAATGGGGGAGGGAGTAAACGATAAGATAAAGTATAGAGGCCACAGAGAGAAAACAGCAATTGGACAAAGGAGTTGCTAACTATCAGGCTGGAAGGGTGACTAGTTGTTAATGGAGATTGTTAGTGACCAACAACAGGGGGTGTGTAATGGCAGGCTATGTGGTAACAAGACCTGGTGTGTGGGGTGGGGAGCTGGGACATGGGAGAGTTTAGGCCCTAAAATTATTGAACTCGACATCGAGTCTGCAGGGTCCCCAAGCGGAAAATGAGATGTTGTTCCTCCAGCTTGCGTTGGGCTTCACTGGAACACTGCAGCAAGCCAGAGACAGAGATATTGGCCAGGGAGCAGGGTAATGTGTTAAAGTGGCAGGCAACTGGAAGCTCAGGGTCCTTTATCGCCGGTTACAAGGGAAGGTGCCATAGGGCTGTGGGAAGGTGTTGGGGGTGAAGGAAGAGTGGACCAGGGTGTCCCAGAGGGAACAGTCCCTGCGGAAGGAGGACGAGGGAGGGGAGGGGAATACGTGTCTGGTGGTGGCATCTTGCTGAAGGTGGCGGAAATGGCATCTGATGATTTTCTGGATGTGGATGCTGGTGGGATGGTAACTAAGTGCTTCCAGTTGCATGCCACTTTAGACCATCACAATTTGGACCCAACCGTGACAACTGTTATCCTCTGCACCTCCAGGGCCTCCAGAAATGTTTCTCCCTGCGGATTCTGAACTTCACGTTCACAGCAAATGCACTGACATCTTCTCTCCCTGCAATTGACCCTGCCCCAACTCACAGCTTCTCTTTCCCAGACCTGCAGCGCCCTGGAGAAGGGTTCCGACCCAAAACGTTGACATTCCTGCTCCTCGGATGCTGTCTGACCTGCTGTGCTTTTCCAGCTCCACATTTTTTTTTTTGACTCTAGCTTCAAGCATTTGCAATCCTTTCTGTCTCCTGGTCTTGTAAATAGCCTGCTTTAGCACTTGTCAGACCCCTGTGGTTGCCTTCAGTCTGCTTATGCTATCTCTTTACTTTCAAGTCAAGCCCGAACTAAACTTAAATATATAATTAAAGCTGATTTTAGAACAGCACCAAGGGAGCGCTGCACATCAACGCTGCCTTTTTACAAAATGAGATACTATACTAAGGCCTCCTCTAGCCTCTCGGATGGCACTAAAAGAAACCATGCTGCTATTGAAAGAAAATACATTCTCTGATGTACAGCTCATGTTCAGCTCTCAACATACATCAATGAGTAAATTATTTGATCATTCTCACACCGCTGTTTTCATGACTCTATCATGTACACAGTGGCTGTTATTTCTTACGTTACTTTCGCCGCTGAACTTTGAAACTACATCATTCACTGCACATGCTTTAGGACTTTGAGGTTATAAAAGGTTCTTTGTAAATGTATAGAATAAAATACAAAATGCAGAATAATGATAGTGGCAAATTTGAAACTGGTAATCAGGTTAATTTCAAATTAACATCATGTTCCATTTTAAGGAATTTAATTGTGAATAATGGGCATTTCACCATTTTAGGTTAGTTTGTGCTTGCAGACACAACTAAAATCTACAGAGGAGTACAGTTCTGCGTGATGAAAAGGTTAAGCAGATATGAGATTAGCATCGATTTCAGCTCAGTTATAATAACTTAACCAGGGATTGACTCAAAGGGAAAGAAACTTTACCAAAATTGCTTTATTCATATGAAGTAGACATTACTTACATGCAAAGATTGCTTATAACTGTAGGAGGGGGCTTTCTCATACCCTTCACCACTTTCTTCTCTTCTCTTGCAAAAAAGCAATGCTTTCTCATGGAGGAACAGGTGTCTCTGCATTGGTTTGAATCGTGCTAGATCTTTGACTTTTGCGTGCCCCTTCTTATGGTCTATCCAGATGTTGAATGAACCTTGCATTAAAAGCTTACCGAGTTCATTTAAATTCCCCTGTTAGAAAAGAGAAATCACAAGCACCGTGTTAAAAACATCAAATGATCGAAATACAATTTTTATGATCCAGTTTATCGGAGTAACTCAATATCCTCAAACTTTGATTCTTTCTGCATAGGGCATGTTCAAGTGAAGCGCCCTGCCTGAAATTTTCAATTAATATCAATTATTGTTCAAATGAAGCTTAAAACCACTTCTGTGGTTCACAAGTTCAGAGTCCCTACAGTGTGGAAGCAGACCATTCAGCCCACCAAGTCTACATCGACCCTCTGAAGGGCATCCCACCCAGACCCACTCCCCCTACCTATCGCTGTATTCCCTGCATTTCCCATGGCTAGTCCGAGCCTGCACATTCCTACTCTGGACAATTTAGCATGGCCAATCCATCTAAACTACACATTTTTGGACCGTGGGAGGAAACTACAGCACCCAGCGGAAACCCACGCAGACACGGGGAGAATGTGCAAACTCCACACAGACAGTCACCCGAGGCTGGAATTGAACCCAGGTCCCTGGTGCTGTGAGGCGGCAGCGCTAACCACTGAGCCACTGTGCTGCCCATTTACTTGACCTTGGCTTCAAAAGAGTTTGATCACAATACAGATTCAGTCCTTTGTTTGAATTTGATAAAACTGACTTTCATAAGTGAACAGCTTGCCAACCAACTTTTTGAGATAAGAATTGGTTTTGCGATTGCAAATATCACAAATTTCATTCCTTCAATGTGAATAAAGTAACAAAAATTGAGGAACAATGGCCACCTAACACCCATCTATCAATAACTCTAATAGATCATTGCAAGAATTTCCCATCACATTCAGAAGCATCAAAAACACTGGCCAGGCAGTTGTTACTCTGGCATAGTTGAGTTGCACATGGGGACCCTGTAGAATCTCCACTGTAGCGCACAGGAAATTAAAATTTCTGCTGGACAATTCCTCCAAGACTTGAATCGTCCAAAAGTCTTCATTTAGGTCTGAAACTTTGGATGATTCCAACAAAATTAAGCAAGGTAATTCCTCGAGAAAGTTAGACTATTGATTATACAATCAAACTCCTGTGTAACTATTAAACTGACCACATACATAGGGAGGCAATGGGCTAGTGGTATTATCACTGGACTGTTAATCCAGATAACATTCTCAGGACCCAGGTTCAAATCCCACCTTGGCAGATGGTGGAATTCCAATTCAATAAATGATGATGACTGTGAATCCATTGTTGACTGTCAGGAAAAACCCATTTCTGAATTTCTGAAGGGTCCATACCCGAAACGTCAGCTTTCCTGCTCCTCTGATGCTGCCTGGCCTGCTATGTTCCTCCAGCTCCACACCTTGTTACCCAAACTGGTCCACTGATGCCCTTTAGGGAAGGAAACTGCCATCTTTACCTGGTCTGGGCATACACGTGACTCCAGACCCACAGCAATGTGGTTGACTCTGAACTGCCCTCTGGGCAATTAGGGTTGGGCAATAAATGCTGCCTGGCCAGTGACGCCCTTATCCCATGAATGAATGAATAATTTAAAAAAAACTAGAGTAGGTCAAGATGAGAGGGAGAAATGGAGTCCATGAATGGTGTAGGTCAGGTCAGACCAGGCTCAGCAGTGTGGGTGGGGGTGACAAAAATACTTGACTCACACTCGCCCAACTACATCTCTGCCAACCTCATGGGATCCAACACTCCCACCCTCCATCCCACCCTGCTGGACCTGATCCAACAGCACCCTCCCCCAAAACTAACACGTCCTTCCCTCCTGCCTGACCCAACCAGTCACCCCCACCCATACTGCTGAGCCTGGTCTGACCTGACCTCCCCCATTTCTCCCACTCATCTTGACCTACTCTAGGCACTGAATCAGATATCTTGTAGCCTGGATCCAAAATCATTTGGCAACCTAACATCACACTTATCTCATGTACTTTATATCTTAGCAATAGCTTCAAAGTGGCTGGCATGGCCTTTAAATTTCAGAAAATGACAGCTGACTACTGTGAAAAGGTGGGGAGAAGTTGGGGGGGCACTGGTGGTGTAGCGTGGTTTGTCACAGTTACGGGCTACGAAAGAACTGTCAGAATGGAAGTATTTCTCTGCATTCCCTGATCAAAATCTCCTATCGGGAATGCGGAACTCCCTTCTTTCTCACAAAGTGGCTGTTCGGTAGGGAGCTCCAAGACGCTGGAACAGTCAATTTTGTAGATTCTGTCACTTCCTGCCACACATCAGTCACCATTATCCAAATCACTACTTTGTTCTTTTCCTCTGATTCAACATATAACATCTCACATAATCACTTCCTTGCACTATTTGATTTAAAAACCATCTCTAACACCTGAGTAATACAACTAAGCAGAGGAGTTGGGATAAATTGGTCTTTTTCCGGCTGGCAAGATGTATCTAGCCGTGTGCCACAGTGTTTGGACTTCGGGCCCCAACTATTTATAATCTATATTAATGACTTGGATGCAAAGAGAGAAGGACTACAGCCAGATTCGCAGATGACGCTAAATAGCTTGGACGGTAATTGCAACAAAGAAATAAGAAATTTATAAGTAAATATGTATAGGCGAGGTGCACAGCTATAGAGAAACCAAGATACAGTACAAACCAAAACTCAATGGAATCACACACAACACAAATCACACTGTAGAATGTGAATCATGGCTCGCAGACTGATTCATACACAGAATAAATTACAACCAGTATGGTGGCCATGTACAGTGTACATCACAGCTAGCAGACATGATCATCTTAAGAAAGTTGGTCGAGAATACCTGATGCTCTGTGCACCTCTGTCATTCTTGAACGCAACCACCAATATTGCAATGCAAACTAGCTACCTTATGCTGACCCAAAACTGGCTGCGTTCAGAAAAAAAGATGCACTTCATTTTCTCTCATTACTGAAGATGTTCTAACTTTCCCAAAATGCAAAACTCTATATCCGTTTAACATGGGTAATTGGTGTTTCCCAGGATTCATATTGGTTTGTTCTAAATCTATTCGCTTAAATCCGCCATTCCTATCGTCCCTGTGGGCAACTATTTTCTGCCAGCTTTTCTCTTGCCCCTCCCCAGGCGCTACCCAAATCCACAACATTTCCAGACTCCTGCTATAGTTCTGAGCTTGAATACACATGCATTATTCTCAAGGTATTCACCAAAAGGGCCAAAGATTCTTTTTGCTGCCTCTTTACAAGCAACAGACTGACTACTTTGCCCTTCTGTTTCACCAATTTGCACACCCCAACATGCCAGATGAAACTAAACTCACCAACCTCCTATTTAAAGAATAACCCTCTTGGCTGATTAGCTGGGGAATTAACACCTTACGCATTCTCAGAAAGACTGGAGTGAAACAAGATCCTTGTCTGCCACAGCCTCACCTTTCACTGTCAAGGATATCAATGTCTTTTTAGTTGTTAAACAATCTGGCTCTCATGAAGCATTGTTAGCCTTGACAAAATATTGCTATTAACTGCCTGTATTTAGTCTGATATACTAGTTATGAAAGAAACTGTTTGGCAATATAGTCATAGCACCTCACATACTTTGTGTTAAGAAAGGGAATCAATGCCAGAGGTAACTCATAGAACCCCTACAATGTGGAAACAGGCTCTTCGGCCCAACAAGTCCACACCGACCCTCAGGGCGTCCCACCCAGACCCATCCCCCTATAATCTACACATCCCTGAACACTGCGGGCGATTTAGCACAGCCAATCCACCTAGCCTGCACATCTTTGGAGGTGTCATGGTGGGTAGCATCAGATCACCCACAGTTCTTAGTGAAGGTCAACTTGTCTCATACCTCATATCCTGTGATGGCGATCTGGTGCATAGAGTCATTCACGGCTTTCAGAATTCCCAAAATAGCTGCCAGTGCTTCCTGCAGATCCTTGGCTCCATCAGAGTTTTTGCTATACTTCAACAACTCCTGTTAATTCAGGCACATGCATCAATTCCTCGAATAAACACACCATTTTGAGGTACTAGTGAACAATCATCAGTCTGTTTGTGTGACAGAAGTCTTGTGTTCATCCTATTCAAGTCCACCTCTTAATAGGTGAAACTATTAAAAGTAATGACTCTTACGATTTTTTTTGGAAGTTACAGTTATGTATAATGAAGAAGTTTGCATCAACCACAGTGTTTCTGAATGTCTTCCTTCTTCCTCAGCCTTGGACTCACCCCTGCACCCGCTGCAAAATGTAGGTACAGGCCCTCCGCTTTGTCAGATCATTCCCTGCAGTTCTGCCCTCAACTCATCTTCTCCAGGTGTCCCTGTCCTCACTTTCCAGCTGTTATGCTGTTTTTGAATGCAAAGGTGTGTGATGATCAGAGGATTAGATAGGGTGGACAGTGGGAGCCTTTTTCCTCGGATGGTGATGGCTCGCACGAGGGGACATAGCTTTAAATTGAGGGATGATAGACATAGGACAGATGTCAGAGGTAGGTTCTTTACTCAGAGAGTAGTAAGGGCGTGGAATGCCCTGCCTGCAAAAATAGTAGACTCGCCCACTTTAAGGGCATTTAAATGGTCATTGGATAAAAATATGGATGATAATGGAATAGTTTAGGTTAGATGGGCTTCAGATTGGTTTCACAGATCGGCGCAACATCGAGGGCCAAAGGGCCTGTACTGCGCTGTAATGTTCTATGTTCTATGTTTTTGTCCATGTAATTGTAATATTTCCAGGTTGTGTACGTGTTTTTTTGTGTTGGATATTCACTGGTTTTAGTTTTGTTTTGTTATTGATTACCCAGTGTCTTGTATGAATGGCCTGATTATCGAGCAAATGGACTGTTTTTAATGTGAATGATTTGTTTTTTTTTATGTGAATGGTCTGCCCTTTGAATTAATGGTTCAGTTTTTATGTTAGTAATCTGTGTTTTTGGAATGTTACTGAGGTGTTTCACGAGTTCTCTCATTCATGCTCTGCTTATTCTTTGGTTCTATATAAAACCTCAAACCAAATACTATCAACTAAACATCAACAATTACCACCTCTATATCCATCTTTCATGTCTGTTTCTCGATTAATTGTAAATACACTTTGCTCAAGGCCAAAATACTGCCTTATTGAATAATATTAAAATTGAACAAAGTGTAAACTGCTAGCAAAACTCAGCAGGTCTGGTAGCATCTGTGGGAAGAAAGCAGAATTAACATGGAGTCCAGTGATACTTCATCAGAACCAGACTTGAAATGTTAATCCTGCCTTCCTACTAGAGATGCTTCCAGATCTGCTGAGTTTCGTCATCTATTTGTTTTTGTTTCAGATCTCCAGTGTCTACAGTGTTTTATTTTAATAATGGAACAATAAAATGGAACAAACCCAACAGCCAGATCGACTGCAGAGCGATGTTGTCGTCCAGACTCCAGATGCCATACTTTGTGCGTAAAGTTGTCAAAAGATTGGTACCTCAGTAAATGTTCTTTCCATGACAATGGCACGTAGGAGTCAGGACACTGGGGGGTGAGATGTCAAAGAAACACCCATCTGTAGCTTCAACTTGCCTGGACAAAGACAGTAAAATCTAGTAGTCCAGTTCCCCTGATGATGCCATCAGCCCCTGCTGCTTATGTGAGGAATCGGTGCAGCCTAACTGTTGGAAGGCTACGCATTATAAAACTGCTGCTGAATAGGAGTCTGTTTTTACATCAGCACCTTTTTCACTTTTTCAAAGTTCTTTTCTGTTTACTACTGTTGCAATGCTTTACCTTTAGCAGTAACTGGTACTTGGTTATCCGCTGCACAGGTTTCAACAAATATGAATCCAAACCCAGCTTGTGTTCTAATTTTTTCTGACATTCCTGAAACACAATGGGAAGTTGAATAAACATAGTTTCGACACTAACATTTAAACTACAAAGTAATGACTAGAAATCTGCATCCAAATATCCCACTACAAAAATGTCACAAAGGAACTCTGATCTAATATCAGTTGTGCTGAAATAATGCATGTTTTGTACACTCAGTACTTCATTCAGCATTAAACACAATATTACACAGTGTGTGTGAAGAATACTTCCTCAAAATCAGTTCTGAACTTAGCTATGCTTGGCTTTTCTTCACTTTCCCTCTGGTTGTGGGAGAAGGGGAAACAGTGTTTAGGATGAATTCTTTCCATATACTCAGTGTCTTACACATTCACTCTTTATACTATATGTTTAACTTTTATCAACTATTTTCATTCTCTCCTCTAACAGTTTGGTTATTCTCAATCATAATTAGTAAAGTGCAGGTAATTTAATGGTTTGCCCATTGCCGGAACCCCTTTCCCTGCAGACAATACAAAGAAGCAACTCAGCAATGTCATGTTCACAATCTTCCAATCTATCAAAGTTTGGATTTGATTTCTGACCCCATATCATGATGCAACCTTTTTAGCCACCTCTCCCTTAGTCTAACCAGATCTAACTGCTCTGTTTTGCACAGACAACAAAAGCAGTTACACCTACCATCACTCCCAAATACAAAATCCCTACAACTTGGCTCCACAATGTCTGTGCAGAGATATCAGCCTTGTAAAGGGCCATGTATAGTACCCTCTGCAAATTATGACTGAGGTGAATTACTTGTCCTTATCCTCAATATCTCCATGCGTTTTGTTTGTACCGCAGAAAAAAAAAGTGTCTCAGAGAGCTACTGTAAAGGTTTTTGCATCAGGACTTTAGGAGCCTAGAGTAACCTTACAACAAAGCAACAACTGCTTCCCACATGGCATAATTAGCACTGTGGGAGGAGTTAATGTGATTTGAAAGAAAGAAACTCATGCAGGTAACATCTCCTAAGGATATAATAAGATCTAAACCTGGTAGATCTCCAGTTATCACGTACAGTTGTTTATTGCATATTGACACTATATGCAAAGTTCTATAGAAGCCCAAGCTTAAAGACGGGTTTTGACTGCCACCTCCGACCAACATTACGAATCCCAACTCTCAAGTGTAGCCTAAAAATCAAACTACCAAAGATGAAAACTCTGCCCAGAAAATCATGGCAGAGACAGGTGAAACAGACCTGAAATTGTCTAAAGAACAGAAGAACTCAAAAAATTCTCTTTCCAAAAAAAAACCATTGACATAGTTTAAGACCTCGGGACAGCTAAAAGATCCACTGAACTGAACAACTGCTGTGAAGGAAGAATCTCTGGACAGAAAACCCCTCCAGAGAAATCATGAACACAGCTGTACGTCAACAAAATCTTTTTTATACTCAGTAGCAGGGAAAACAAACATTTAAGGAAAAATGGCAAAAAAAAAGCAATAAAACCTATAAGAAGCCAAGGGGATAAATTCAGATCAAACATGCACAATAAAAGCCGATTCCAGACACCTAGAGCAAACCTTAGATCACTCTCAGATCTGTGAATGGCAGTCTCTTGCATAAATCCATAATGCATGGTTATATTCATGCTACACAAATGTCAGATAATTGCAACAGAGAGCTTAACTAGCTCTCGTCTTCTTGCTGCTCCTCTGTCCCTATCAAAAAGTATAAAAGAGAACCTATTTTTCAATATATTTCTGTTCTAACTTCATACCAGACTTGAAACGTTAACTCTTGTTCTCTCTCTACAGATGGTCCCAGACCAACTTAGCATACATACCAGTTTTCTGCATTGGTTTCAGATTTTCAGCATCCACAGTATTTTGCCTTTATTAACTAACTATCTCCCCTTGACATTCAAGGGCATTACAATCACCAAATCCCTCACCAACTACATCCCGAGAGTCCCAGAAAGTTAACAGTAGTGTGGGGATAACATGTGGTCGGAGCCTGGGAATTTTGTGGCGGTACCTGACCTCCTTCCTTACAAATCCTGTCTATCAACTGCAAGATGGAATACTGTTCAATTGCTTCAACAAGTGCAGCACAAGCAATATTCAAGAAACTTGAAGCTATCCAAAACAAAACAATGTCATTCGCCATGCTGCAGACCACCTTAAACATCCACTCTCTCCAACAATGGCACAGCACAATTGCAGTGTATATCATCTACAAGGTATATTGCAAAAATTTACCTAAGACACCTCTAAGCACAGAATCTTTAACACATAGGAGGACAAGGACAGCAGATCCATGGGAATATAGCAATCCTGAATTGAAGATATACTTTACCTGTTCAGTGTTACTGAACCAAAATCCTGGAACTGCCCAGAAAACAGCACTGTGTATAGCACACAGATTGCAGTGGGAAAAGATGGCCCACTGTCACATCCCCAAGGTCTATTAGTGACGGAGAGGAAAGCCAGCAATGCTGGTATTTCACAAATTAATGATAATAATCATCCCGAACATGAAGCCACTTCAATAACAAGGTATAGTCAACACAGGCAGGCTCTGTTGTATTTCTGCGACTTGGCAGCTCGTAAAATGCACAGTAGGCTTGGCGAATGCAACTTTGGAAAACTACAGCTGTAATTAACAGGCCCGCAGAGTCAAGAAAAATGCAGTTAGTTGATAGCATTGTCCTCAAATATGTGTTGCCTCACATCTTAACCACCTTCAAAGTCCAAGCAATTTAATAACAAACAAGTATAACAGCAGGAGCATAAGTCAGTTATAAAAGATACAAGTACCTGAAAGAAAATGCAATCTGAGCACTGCCTCCACAAGCTTTCTGAGCGGGGTTTATTCCGACAGTACCACTCATAAATCTGAAGGTCTTCCATCTACAAATAGAAACAATCTGGTTTTCAAGATTTTCACAACTTTAAAGATGATAGCTTGGAAATTTACAGTCACTGCAATTAGTTTGCTACTTGGTTTAATGACTGGCAATATTCTTCCCAGAGGTCACTTCAACAAGAGTCTTTGTACACATACACAGCATCTTGGAATAGAATCCTAAACCTCAGCAGCAGGATGATTTCATTTGTATCTTACATTTCAGATGTCTTACGACATGATTTACTCCCATTATGTCCTTAAGGACAAGTATCTTGGCTCAGAATATCTGGAAGTAGAATCAGTAGGGGTGGAGATTAAGATTACCAAGGGTCAGAAAACATTGTGGGAGTTTATATGTACCCTCACTGTAGTTATACCAGGACAGATTAAGCAATAATTGATTGCAGCTGATTAAAAAGGCAGTGCGACTGAGAGAGATTTAAATCTGCAATGGACAAGGGCACGGAGCCATGGTTAGCACCGCCACTTCACAGCGCCAGGGACCTGGGTTCGATTCCAGCCTTGGGTGACTGTGTGTGGAGATTTCATGTTCTCCCTGTGTCTGCCTGGGTTTCCTCTGGGTGCTCCGGTTTCCTCCCACAGCCCAAAGTTGTGCAGGTTAGGTGGATTGGCCATGCTAAATTGTCCATACTGTCTAGGGATGTGCAGGCTAGGTGAGTTAGCCATGGGAAATGTGGGGTTAAGGGGTTAGAATTAGGAGCTGGGTCTGGGTGGAATGCTCTTCGGAGGGTCAGCACAGACTCGGTGGGCCAAATGGTCTATTTCCACACTGTAGGGATTCTGTGATTCTAAGTCAAACAGAAATGGTTATTTGGAAGACTAGTTTGCAAAATACTTTTGAAAGAGAAGTTTGTGTTCTGGGGTCTTCGAAAGAGTGATTACATAAATCACAGACACATTGACTGTAACCTTCTAAGATTCCCTAGGTTCACAGAAATATTCTAGCAGATTGGAAAACTGCACATGTAACACCACTATTAAAGAAAGGAGGGAGACTGAAAGCAGGAAACCATGGGCCAGATAAGCATTTCCTTAATGACAGGTGTTAGTTAAATTGAAAAATAAGGATATTTAGAAAGGCCTAATACAATCTAGCAGAGTCATTGTGCAATTCTGAAAGGGAAATTTACAGTCGGGATAAATAGGTAATCTTCAGATTGGCAAACTATAAATAAAAGTGCCACAGGGATCAGTGCTAGGACTTCAAATATTTATAATCTATATTAATGATTTGGATGAAGGGGCTGACTCTATTGTGTTCAAGTTTGCTGAAACTGCAAAGATAGTTAGGAAAACGAGTTGTGAGGAGGATACAATGGGTCTGCAAAGAGATGCAGGCAGGTTAAATGAGTGGGTAAAAAAAAGAAACAAAAATTGGCATTCAGAACATAATGTGAGAAATGGGAGGGTGTCCATTCTGTTGAAAGAAGGCCTGCAACAGAGAACAGGAATGGGAAAGGGCCTTTTGTTTTACATGTGACTGGGAAGCAAATGTTGCTGGCAAAACCAGTATTTACCGAACACATCTAATTACTTTTGAAAAGTTGGGAGTAACTTGCCTTCTTGCACTACAGCATCCAATGGGTACAGAGGTAGAGGGAGTGAAAGTGGAAGAGGGATAGGAGGGTGAAGATAAGGGTATGCCAGGGTGGCAATGGGAGACAGAATGGAAATGGGTCACATGTCCCTGCAGACACATTTATAATGAGGATATTGTTTCAAAACAGTGTGGTGAACTTGTGCTCTCTGTAATAACAGCTTATAGCCAAGTGAAACCAGTCCTGTGTCTGGCAGTGAAAGTGTATTGAAGCATTGGTGCAATAAAGCATAACTCAAACGGACTTTACATACCCGTTCCAGGAAACACCGTCCCACCAACTCCGGGCAGTCTACGTAATTTTCCAATTCCCTCAGGAATATCCTAAGTAGAAAGGAGGAAACA